TTTGATGTATTTTAGGAATATGTAAATGTAGTACCTTGCCTTTGTAGGCTTTACATTAGCAATAAGTGATGATCGAGCAGCATCAACACATGCTGATGTCTTCTTATTGCTTCACTAAATAGTTCCATTGTAGCATCATTATGTGTAAGGGCCTAGTTATTAATGGAGAATGATGACCATAAAATTAAATCAATATTTGGAGAGCACAACATCATGTCAAAGAAGCGCCTTTCACCTTTTGCTGTGTGGCCCTTTGATTTGTTTATGCATAGGAGATGTTTTAGGAGTCACTGGCCTTTGAAGATGTATTCATCAGCTATGGCATGACAGCTTTGTTGGATCCTCCCCAAAAGGAGTCCTATGAAGATGTGATTTTGTGGAACCAGGTCTCTGTAGGTAAAAAATGGCATGATTCTTCGTCAATCAGAGAAAAACAATTTCTTGCTCATTGGTGCTGGTATGGTTTAGAATTTACAAAAGGAAATATTTTGGGTACCACACAGGATATTGTGCGAGTGATGTAGCAAAAAGTTGTTCTTTTTTAATGTTTAAAAATCCATGACTTGGGCTTGAGAGATGACTCAGAGGTTAAGAGCATTGACTGCTCTCCCAGAGGTCCTGAGTTCAATTTCCAGCAACCAATTGTGTAAATATATCACAAACTATTTCCAATTTTTGTCTGTTATGAATAGAGCAGCAATGAACAGGGATAAAGAAGTATGTCTGTAGTAAGACATAGAATCCTGGAGGTATATGTCCAAGAATGGGTTAGCTGGATATTAGGATAGATTAACACTCAGCTTCCTGAAGAAACTCCTTGCTAATGTACATGGTGGCCGCAGCAGTTTGCACTCTCAGCAACAATGAATAAGTTGTTCCCATTTACCCACATCCTCACCTGCATGTGCTGTCCTTTGCTTTATTGATCTTGGCCATTCTGCCTGGGGTAAGATGAAACTCCAAAGTAGTTTTAATTTGTGTTTTACTGATGGTTAAGGATCATTTCATAAATGTTTTAAAGTGCTTTTCAGCCACTTGTTTCATTCCACGAGACCTCTCTGCTTAGTTCTATCTCATTTTTTTTAAATTAACTTTTATTTAAATTAAAAACAACCTTATTTTACATACCAATCCCAGTTCCCTCTCCCTCCCATTCTCTCACTCCCTCCACCATTTCCCCATCCCCCACCCCCATGCACTCCTCAAGGAGGGTGAGTCCTCCAATGGGGCATCAAAGTCTGTCACATCATTTGGGGCAGAACCTAGGCCCTCCTCCATGTATCTGGGCTAAGAGAGAATCTCTCCATAGGCAATGGGCTCCCAAAGCCCATTCATGGACTGGTTCCACTGCCAGAGGCCCCATAGACTGCCCAAGCCCCCCAACTGCTGTGTCTCATTTTTTAATTGAGTTATTTGTTTGCTTGATGTTCAGGGTTGGGTTTTTTTTTGTTGTTTATATATTCTATATTCTTACCCTTAGTCAGATGTATAATGGGTAACTATCTTTTCCCTTTCCATGGTTGCTGAAATTTAACCAGACCTATAACATGCAGTGAAATAGAAGCAGTGATTTAAAATCTCCCAATCATGAATGGCTCAGGGCCAGATGAATGCAGTGGAGACTGTCAAAGGAACACTAGCAGTTCTACTCCCCAAGTAATTCTACAAAATAGAAATGGAAGGAACATTCCCTATTCATCTTTGTGAAGTCATTATTATCCTGATACCAAAACCACAAAAGACCCAATTAAAAAATTATAGATCAATATCTCTTACAAACACAGATGCACAATTTTTTCTTTCCATAAGGTTTTGCAAGCTGAATTCAAGTACACATCAAATAGATTATTTACCATGATTGAATTGGCTTCATCCCCAAGCTGGTTTAACATATGTAAACCAACAAACGAAATCCACCACATAAACAGACTGAAAGACAAAACCACATGATTATTTTATTAGATTCAGGAAAGGACTTGGATAGGATCTACTACTCCTTCTCTAAGGACTCAGGAATTATGCCGGCCTGCCCCTGTCACCTGGCAGAATGCAATCAGACAGTACCCTGGTCAGCCCAAGGTTCCATGGTTGTATAATCTGTTATTATCGTAACACTGTCATGATTAAAAACACAATAAAAGGAATTTACAGAAAGCCCACAGTCAACATCATCCCAAACAGAGAGAAATTCAAAGCATTTCCACTAGAATCAGGAATAAGACATGTTCATTCTCCATACTTGTTCAGTACAGTACTTCAGGTTTTATCTACAATAGTGGTTCTCAACCTGTGGATCATAAGCCCTTTGGGGATTGAATGACCCTTCCACAGAAGTCACATATCAGATATCCTTCATATCAGATATTTACATTACAATTCATAACAGTGGCAAAAATTGCAGTTATGGAGTAGCAACAAAAATAATTTTATGGTTGAGGGTCACCACAATATTAAGAATTGTTTGAAGAGTCACAGCATTAGGAAGGTTGAGAACCACTGGCCTAGAGCAATAAAACAACTGAAGGACATCAAGAGAATACAAACAGGAAAGGGAAAAAAGTCAAAGTATCTTCATTTATACATAACATGATTTTATTGTTTTTGTTTTTTTAAATTTCTTTTAATATTTTTCGTACATTGGTGTTTAGGCATGAAACTAGAGTTTCAGAGAGTTGTGAGCCACTATATGGATGCTGGGAATCAAACCCAGGTCCTCTGGAAGAGCATCCAGTGCTCTTCACTGCTGAGCCATCTCCCTAGCCCCTTGTTTTGTTTTTTTGAGACAGCGTTTTTCTGTGTAGCTTTGACTCACTCTGTAGACCAGGCTGACCTTGTACACAAAGATCCACCTGCCTCTGCTTCATGAGTGCTGGGATTAAAGGTTTGTGCAACTACTGCCCTGCTCAACATGATTTTATATTAAAAAAATACAACCCTACTGATTCTAGCAGGAAACTTCTACAGCTAATAAGTACTTTCAGTGAAGTAACAGAATTAACACACAAAACTCAGTAGCCTTCTTATGTCCAAATGACAGACACACTGAGAAAGAAATCAGAGGAACCATACCTTTCACAGTCACTTCAGAAATATCTTGGGATTGCTATAACCAAGCAAATGAAAATTTTCTGTAACAAAAACTTAGGACATTGAAGAAAGAAATACAGAAGAGACAACAAGAACAAAAGATTTTCCATGTTCATGGATCACTTGGGTTAATATTGTGAAAATGGCTATGCTACCAAAACCAATCTCCGTATTCAGTGTTATCCCCATGAAAATTCTAGCAAAATTCTTCACAGATCGAAAAAAAAAACTCTTCAACTTCATATGAAAACAGAAAAACCCAGGACAGATAAAACAATGATAAATAATAAAAAAATTGTTGGAGGTATCAGCATCCCAGATTTCAAGTTGCACTGCAGTGGTACAGTAATAAAAACAGCATGGCATTGGCATAAATACAAACATTTTGATCAATGGATTAGAATTGATGACCTAGATATAATTTCACACACTTATGGACATCTAATTTTTGACAAATATCTGGAGAAAGAACAGCATCTTCAATGAATGGCAAGATCAAATTGGGTCTTCATTTTCAATTCCTCCTACATTGCCTCATTTTCTATCATACTGTATTTCATGGTCATTAAATAAAAATTTACTTGAAATGGCCCAACTTCAAGTCATTTGTGGTTTTTGGTTGGGTTTTTATAAAAATTGGCAGTCTGCTTGGAAGTAAGGACAGAGGTTATTACTAAAAACATTATTTGCAAAATGTACATATTTCTCATTTTATTATGTAATTTTTTCTTTTTAGATTTTCAAGACAAGGTTTCTCTGTGTAGCTTTGGAGCCTGTCCTGGAGCTTGCTTTGTAGACTAGGCTGGCCTCCAACTCACAGAAATACACCTGCTTCTGCCTTCTGAGTGCTGGGACTAAAGGCGTGCACCATCACTGCCCGGCTTGATTTTTGTTGTTGTTGCTGTTGTTATTGCTAAAACCATAATTTGACTGTGGGTGGCATTCTCCTCCTTGTAAATATTAAGGCATTGGAAGATCAATTTCATGGCAGAGACAGCAGTGGAAGACTTGGGTGAGCTCCCAGAGTTCAGTTGTTCAGTGTTTTTGCCTCATCACTAGAGAATGATCCATTGTAGGGCTCCCTGTGCGAGATCAGTTGTGTTCTGAAAGCTTGGGAGTGTGTTACACTTCTCAGTGTAGAATTTCGTCAGTGTAGAAGTTCCTTGGCCCTTGAGCCAAGAAACTTTCTGTTTGAAGTTCAATAGCCTCTAACTCCATTTTTCTCCAGACATTGTATAATTGCATTCCTTGTTCATATGTTTTGATTTTCTTGGCAGAAGATGGGTAGACTGAAAGACACTGTGTGAGAAAACGTTCACTTCACCTCATCCCCAAATCCCGAGCCTGCTCATCAGCCCCCCTCTTTCTGTTTATTTGCACAAATTGACATAAAGATCCTTCCTAAAGTGACGTCTGGGGTTTTCTCCTTGGGGGTATTAAGTTTAGAAGTTCCATTGCAAAGCTGTGGCACTATTTCTTTGGTGCTGGTTGAGGGGCTGGGGTGGAGGCAGCGAATGCATGCACTAAAAAGCCTACAGAACGTTTCCTTAAACGCCAGGAAACTTCAGGTTTGTGCCAGGCTTGCACTAGCGAAGAGCAGGCTGAAAGCATCACCAGTGACAGCTGTCTCCTTAGCTGCACCGGCGCGCAAACTGTTTTCTCTGCAGTTCGGTCCATCGGAGGCGGGGAGAATTTCGTTCACCAATGAACGGCGCTGTTATTCTCCCTCATGGTCCGCCCAATACGAAGCGCAGATGATCGAAGGGTTCCGCCCTTGCTGCCATTTTGGAGAGCCGTGGCTGCTTTGCCTCGGCGGCCGTCACTGCTGCTGATTGCCGGCTCCTTGGAGAGGACACCAGGATGCGTCTTAAGCAGAGGATGGTGAGTGTGGCGCGCGCTCCTGGATCCGAGGGTGGCGGGTTTGTGGCACCACGGCGGCTTTGACCGGCAGAGCAGCCTCCAGCCCCGCACCTTGCGTGTGAAGCGGCTTCGTCCCAGTCCTCTCAGGGTGAGTCCCGTGCCTCCAACTTGAGCTTCTGCAGAAACTGCAGCGCTGGCAGGTTGGTGATGCTGAATCCAAACTGTGATGCGGAGGTGAGCGCTGTTGCCTGTCTGTCTGTCTCCGAACTTCCGTTTGTCCTGCTTTAGTTTTCCTCTGTCATCACCGTTTATTTATTTTCCCCCCGTTTTGGTACTGAAATCGAATCCTAGGCTTTGCGCACGTTAGGCAAAGGTTCTCACTATGTGGAGGTTTTTCTCCTCTGGTTCTCTCTATATACTGTCTTTGGATCGCTTCTTCTCTTTTTAATAATAATGCAGGTTTTTTTTTTCTTGATTAATAAGTAAGGCAGTAAGTGAGATTTTTGAAAAGCTTTTCTAGCCTTGTTGATCTTGGGGAAATAAAGCCTGGGGGAAGGGGAGTTCGTGTAACCATCATTTTGTTTTGCTCTGGGGGGTTTCTCTAAACAGAAAGAATTGGGAGTGAGAATTCGTCAGTCAGAATTTAGTTGGAATACAGTTCTTTGGAGAAAATTAATCTTCATCTCTTTCCTTTTGCCTTCAACTATTTGTTCTCCTCAGACAGTAATTTCTAACCGTCTGGCATAGTCAGTCTGAGACAAAGACATCTTTATTTTTTTTCTGGTGAAAACGTTTTTTTTTGTTTGTTTGTTTGTTTTGTTTTGTTTTTTGTTGTTTTTTAAATTCTTTTCTTTTTTAAGATTTTATTTCTTTATTATGTATACAACATTCTGCTTCCATGTATATCTGTACACCAGAATAGGGCACCAGATCTCATTATAGATGGTTGTGAGCCACCATGTGGTTGCTGGGAATTGAACTCAGGACCTCTGGAAGAGCAGTCAGTGCTCTTAACCTCTGAGCCATCTCTCCAGCCCAGTGAAAACCATTTTGAGGTTGAGTGTGCAGTACATTGAAAAAACACTTTATTACTTTTTTTTTTTTTTTCAAGACAGGGGTTTTCTGTGGCTTTGGAGGCTGTCCTGGAACTAGCTCTTGTAGACCAGGCTTTCTCGAACTCACAGAGATCCGCCTGCCTCTGCCTCCCGAGTGCTGGGATTAAAGGTGTGCATCACCAATGCCCGGCTTCACTTTATTACTATTAAATGTGTGAGATACTTTGTGTTGCTGCCTTGGTCATGGTGTGCTTGCAGAGGTCTGGGGTCAGTCCTGTGCTATTGGTTTTCTCCTTTTCGCTTTTATGTGTCTTCTTGCAATCAAACTCAAGTCATTTGGCTTATTTTTCAAGTTTTCTTTCTTTTTCTCTTTTTTAATCAGTTGAGGCATCTGAGACCTATAAACCTCCATTGTCTTAATTTTTAAAAAGAGAGGCAGGTTATCATGCATCTAGCTTGTCTTAGAAGTAAGTATATTGCAGGTGACCTTGAATTTATATTCTTGCTTATGTCTCTGAAGTGTGATTACAGGCTTGAACAACCAAGCTCAGTTTTATACAGTGCTGGGGATGGAATTCAGGTTTTCAGCAATGGTTGTCAAGCACTGTAACAACTGAGCTGCAGCCTCAGCCCTAGTGTATTGCTTAAAAAAAAAAATTGCATCAGGGCTGGCTGGGTGGTGGTGGCACACACCTTTAATCCCAGCACTCGGGAGGCAGAGGCAGAGGCATCTCTGTGAGTTTGAGACCAGCCTGGTCTACAAGAGCTAGTTCCAGGACAGCCTCCAAAGCCACGGAGAAACCCTGCCTTGAAATCCTCCCCCCCAAAAAAAATTTGTATCAGGAAAGCTGATATACCTAATGACACACAACTGTACATTTAAATGTGGAGTGTGTGTGTGTGTGTGTGAAAAATGACTGGATGGATGTATAGATAGATAGATAGATAGATAGATAGATAGGGGAAAGAGGGAGGGATAGGAATAGTTGTAAGATTTTCCAGAAGGGAAAAATTGCTATACACCAAGGACTGACTTTACAAAAGCAAAAACAAAATCTGGTGGGGGAACTCACTAAATCTTGAAGCTCTAGGTAACTAGTACCTAGATTCATCAAATCATCTCCATTCCAATAAGCTTAGCTAGCCCTTCTCTTCAGATTATGTTGCCTGTAGCACATAAAAGCCTTTCCTGGACTGGCTGACTACTCTACATGTGCAGCTTTCTTTAGTCTATATCTCATGGCCCCTCTATCATCCTCAAATCTCCATTGCAACTTGGGCTTCATCTTTACCTTGTCACGTTTGTCTGTGGCGGCTCTTCATGGTGCAAGACTCCTCAGTCTTGCATCTTTTACGCCGTCCATCCCCACCCCCCCCAAACTAGCCCCAACCATAGGACACTTTCATCAGTTTCAGTTTCTTCTTCTGTCCTGTGATGGAGCCTGGCCCACATGGACCACAATAGTATCAGCTTCTGTGTGGTGACCCTAGGGAAACAAACAGCCTCTTCAGCAGTGAGCCCCCTTGGCTGTATTCTTAGTTCAGCGGTTTTCTTTCACAGGGATTTGCGTCTTTACACTTTGGAACCTTTGATGGGCACACTCTTGCCTTCATGTAACTGTTCCTCTTATTGATTTAGTAGTTGTGGCTTTGCCTTCAATGTGCCCTTCCTAATATTGGTCATGTCTGGGAACAGGTGTTTGCAGGTTCCTGGCCTCTTATTTAAATTATTGAAAAGAAAAATGCTTCCATTGACTTGGAAAAGTAGTCAAGTAACTTTATTCAAAGCAAGTCCATATGCCTCATTCTCAAACACACAGTGAAGAGTGATAGTGAATTACATGAAGGAGAGTACCAAAGGAGTCTGATTATTCTTAGAACTTCATTCCGTCTGTCCGTCCATCTGTCTGTGTGTCTTTCTGTTTTCTCAAGACAGGGTTTCTTTGTGCCACCACCATGGCTGTCCTGGAACTCATGCATGTACACCAGGCTGGCCTCGAACTCACAGAGGTCTCTGCCTCCTGAGAGCTGGGATTAAAGGTGTGCGCCACCACCACCTGCAAGGAGCTTTATTTTATAAAGATTAAGAAAAGGGAGAATTTGGTTCCTAAGGAGCATAGCATGCATGGGTGGTTGTCTGTTTTGACAATAGACTTGCATTGGGTAAGCTCTTTGTGCGTGTCTTCTCTTACAGTGTATCTTTTTCTAATCATATATATGCCCAATTATCCCTAGGTAAATAGGCGGTTCTCCTAAAAGTTCACTTGGTTTGCTTTATTGCACATGCACTGAAAACTAGTTCAGGCTGCTTCAGCCCATAGGTCCCTGATGTGTTCCAAGATATATTTAAATAGAAAAGGGGTTCCTGAGGGAAGTAACAATGTCCCATTGTTCTAAGCATGTGTATGTGTGGCTTAATGGAAGTGGGGTGGTCTTAGGTTGCAAATAGGTTGTTAGCTGCATTGTTTTGGATCATATACTGGTTAGGTTTTTTGTTATGTTTTGTTTTTTGTTTTTCTTTAGTTAGTGCGACACAAGCTAGGTGCTTCTGGGAAATGGGAACCTTAATCGAAGGGTTTTTTGCCAACAAGTCATCATGTTGAATAATGGTTGATATGGGAGGGACTCTGGGTGGGACCACATCTGCTTGGGGTCTTCCTGGGGTTTATTTTTTTTAATATTTTATTTGTTTATTATGTATACAAGATTCTGCATCCATGTATATCTGCACACCAGAAGAGGGCACCAGATCTCACTAAAGATGGTTGTGAGCCACCATGTGGTTGCTGGGAATTGAACTCATGACCTCTGGAAGAGCAGCCAGTGCTCTTAACCTCTGAGCCATCTCACCAGCCCCCTTCCTGGGGTTTATAACAGAGCAGATGGAGCAAGGCTTAAAAAGCCAGCCAGGAAACAGTATTTCCTTCATGGGCCCTGCTTCAGATCCTACCTCCAGGTACCTGCCCTGCTTTGAGTTCCTGCCTTGGGTTCCATGATGAGAACATGTAAGTCAATCCTTTCCTTCCCAAGTTGCTTTTTTGGGTTGTGTTCTTTTTCACAGTAATAGAAACAAACTAGGATGTACGTGCAGCCCAAGCTAAGGAGAGCCCCAGGTTGTTAAGGTATTCCCTATGTGTGTGTGTGTGGCTCATCTTCTCAAAGGCAGACAGTCAGCCATCATGGACTGTCATACTGAATAGGGATGTTAAGCTGAGTTGGACAGAGGTCAAATATTGTACAAAAATAATCTCCTATTTTGTATCTAAAGCTACTACATTTCTTTGGAGAATGCCAAGAACCTTCTTTTCTTGTTGATCCAGGGTCAAATAGATGTTTCCCCTGCCCCTGGTCACATGTGTGTCCTTGGTTCTTCCTGGTGACACCTATTGTTGAAGGACCATCTGCAGGTGGACCTGTTAGATTCTGGATGAAACAAATCATATAAGGTTATTGAGAATACGAGGTCGCAAAGTACCGGAGAATCAGGGAGTAGAGGGCCACTACCTAGGGAAAGAGTGCCAACAGTATGTATTTTGTATTTCAGATATACTGACATCAAAGAACTTACCCAATAGTCACACATGGGGGTGGGCAGTACATGGCTAAATTAGAGGGCCCAAGAGAAACTTGGCTCCCAGCCTGGAAGGTTTTTGCTCCACACAGTCTTTCATTTGTCTTGTGGAGACTTTGAGATACTGACTTTCTCCCTGTGAACCTCAGTTTACCATTCTTCTTGTGGGCCAGGCCTCACATTTAGTGTGTGGGGGAGGCCAAATGGTGTCTTCTCAGTGTGAGAAAAGCCCATCTCAGGATCTAGCGTAGATGAGGCAGGAAAACAATCTGCAGGAGAGAGAAATAGTTTGTGAAACCATATACATTAAGGAAGATAGAGTTAAAAAGTTATTAATATATGTCTGGGTGTTTTGCCTGCATATGTATTTGTGTACCACATGCATGCCTGGTGTCTGCAGAGGCCAGAAGACAGCATCAAATCCTCTCAAACTGGAGAGTTATATACTTACTATGTGTGTGCTGGGAATTGAACCTGGGATCTTCTGGAAGAACTGTCAGTGCAATTAACCTTTGATTAACCTCTCTAGTCCTGGAAGCAAGTATCTTTTTTTATTTATTTTATTTTATTTTTTGAGACAGGGTTTCTCTGTGTAACAGCACTAGTTGTTCTGGAACTCCCTCTGTAGAGGTAGCCTCAAACTCACAGAGGTCTATCTGCCTCTGCCTCCCGAGCACTGGGATTAAAGGCGAATGCCATCATCACCCAGCAGGAAGCAAGTATCTTAGTAACTCAAAATGCCCTGCATGTTTCATCATGGAAACTACAAGCTTTTTAGACAGGAAAAAACTACTTTTTCTTTTATAAACATGTAGAACTATACCAAAGAAAATTCTAAGTGTCTTAGACAGCTTCCAAAGTATCTCCATAAAAATGTGAGAACCCCTCCACCTGTGCCATTCACACAGTCTCAGGCCTCACTCTGGTTATGCAGTTGCTGCATTAGCATTCCCTGATAGCTGCAGCTCTCCCTCCTCATGAACGAAGTTTCTTTTTGCAGCAGATGGAAAGTATTACAGAAAAACACAACTGCTCAAAACCCAGAGAACAAACAGACTGTAGGGTGCTCAACCCCAGTCGGTAGATTTGCATATACCATAGATTGAGGGAGCATCATGAAAGAGAAGGCAGAAAGATTTGAAAAGCCGGAGGACCAGAATGGCTGCGGCAAGATAGTGTCTATACAATAAGGGATCTGCGCCCATGAAATCACAAGAATATGGTCACCTAAGCAAGACCTACACAGTGGCAACAACACATGACAAGCCAATATGGATGGGGGATATGTCACAAGGCCCCACCCATAGATGAAGAGCTACAGGCAAGTCATGGCTACTAAAAGAGGGAGAATCTGTCTTCTTCAGAGATGAGCCCTCTCATAGGCTATCTGATATCAAGTGATCAGCCCTAAATGCATAAAGGCAACACTAAATGGACGCAACAGGTTGGAAATGTGTGTGTGTGTGTGTGTGTGTGTGTGTGTGTGTGTGTGTGTGTGTGTATGTATGTATACTCGCATAATGCATATATACATATATGTAACTAGTGATGAATTAGAGTTGGTAGAGGGAAGGGTGGAAATGCTAAAAATACAGTACTTGTGTGTATGAAATTCTCAAAAAAAATTAAAAACTGAAAAAAGATTTGAGAAGTATTAAAGTTTGAGAGCCAGCAAGATGGCTCAGCAGGTAAAGGCCCTCACCACTAACCATGACAACATGAGTACAGTCTCTGGAACCTGCATAATGAAAGTCTAGTGTCAGCTCCTGAGGTTGTCCTCAGACCTCCCGTGTGCATGCCTGGCACACAGACACACACACAAATACTGTAAATAAGTAAATAGGATAGAATGGAAGAAGAATTTGAATTGGAAATGTTGTTAGAGGGGCTTGAAGTTTACTTGGGTTGTCTAATGCCATCGTTGAAGATGAGTGTCACCCAGCTTTCTGAAGTCCAGGAGAATGTGTCTCAGAAGTGGACAGAAAGCTGAGATGAGAAGTGTGAACTGAGAGCTTATGTCCTGAAGTGTTACAGCCCAGAAGGTGGTTTGAAGTGGTAGAATCCTTTCCCTCCAAGTTGGAAGGATTTGTTGCTGCCTTGTGTTTCCCCAACTGAGGAAGTCCTTCTTTTCTTTTCTCAGCATCTCACTGTGGAAATACTGTGTAACCAATTCTGAATTCCTAATTATCATGTATTATGAAAGACCCTTATATTGGTCATTAACATTTCCTCCTCCTTTTTATTCCCCTCAGGGACAGGGTCTCACTAAGTAGCTCTGGCTGTCCTGGAACTCACTGTGTAGACCAGGCTGGCCTTGAACTCACATTATCTACCTACCTCTGACTCCCAGGTTCTGGGATTAAAGGAGTATGTCACCACATTTGTGTTTTTATATTTGGAGTGTGTGTGTGTGTGTGTGTGTGTCGTCTTCTTCTTCTTCTTCTTCTTCTTCTTCTTCTTCTTCTTCTTC